GCCACGAATTTGGGTACCAAAAATGTCCAGGCATTCTTAGACGCATCTGAATTGGAAGCGGCGCTCGTAAAGCAAAATGGCTTTGTAGGCATTGAATTCGATGACTATTTTAACACCATTACGGAAGTACCATCTAAGGTCAAAGCTGCAATACGGTTTCCATGGCATTTGCGCACGATGATTGGGCGGAAATGGCCCAAACGTATGTACAGGCCACTAGTTGAAAGGATGAGCAAAAGCTTATATGATTTGGAAGGTTTCTTGATTATCCAATCAAAGCTAAGCGATGCATTGATTAAGAACAGAAATCGAAGCGCTCATGTACCTCAAGTCCATATGCAGCCGTTTCCCGATAAGATGCAAAAGAATTTCGGATATTTGCTTGACCCTTATTCTACTCTCGTAATGACCTTTGCGTTCTTATTTATGGGACCCTCTCTGATTGTTGGGCATGTAAGTAACACAACAAAACTATAAGCTTTCACAATTGTAGAGAGTATAACTATGGCAACAGTATTTACTGTGCCCTTGGATGGCACCAACAGATTGATGCACTTCGTGCTCAGAATCATAACGTACAAAGTCCTTTGCAGGGATAAGGCCGAGTTATTCTAACATTATGAGTATTACCAAATCAGCAAAATCGGGATATCCCGTTGGCCAACAGATAGTCCTTGTCTAGCTCATTCAGAGAATGCAATGAACAGGACAAATGGACAGTTTTTCAGTATTTAAGATTGCCCATAACTCGGCCGTATTTCATAGGGGCATAGTCGAAAAATTGGTTAAAAACCCACAAAAACCGGACTAACTGGGTCATATTAAGCACTATCAGAGGGAACTTTTATTCATCCCGATTTCAAATTAGCAACAAAAAGGACGAAAGTCCTTCAGGGGGCCAAGATAATATTGAATTTTTGATTACAAAAAACGGCTTATAGCTCAGGCGTATCCTCTCGTCAAATAAATTGCATGGAGCCGGGTTATCGTCTGGACAAGGGACATTCAAATCGACCTTCTAGTTTGCTTGGGTTTTGACAGTGAAATTGTATTTGTTGATGCAGATCGACCCAATTGATCCTTACGATCATAACGAACAGAGTCCTTTGAAATTCTGTAAGGATATGACCGAATTAGCCATAACTAAAGTATTTCAAGGATAATCGGGATATCCCCTGGCCAACAGATAGTCCTTGTCTTGCTCATTCACAACTGAAAGGCAATCAAATTGTGTTTGTATTCCTGATTTTTAGAAGAGCTCAAAGCATTTTGACCACGCCCCATGCAAGTGCTCCTTGTACACGCACCGTATCTGTTGAGAATCTGCAGGAATATCCTGAATTTATGTTTTGCAGAGCCCTAAACGCACAAGCCCTAGAGTATGCAGTACAAACAAATAAGTGCTGATTATGTGCACAGCACAAAAGTAAACAATATATTTTATTGAACAAGTTTATAAATTTAACAATATGCCCTAAATTAGACAGTTGAGTTTCTGAATTTCTTTTGCTCACCGAGCCGCGTTATTCCTCATCCGTTTGAGGCAAAAAGCATCGTCTTCTGGAAAACTCTGAGTTAGACCAGCAATCGTATCAGTAGATATTTATATATACAAATATATGGCTTTGTTTTGGCCCATTTTACAGCAAATCGTTTCGGAGAAACAGAGACATTTGAGGGAGATAATGCGATTGATGGGGCTCACCGTTGGCTTAAATTGGCTGTCGTGGTTTATAGTCGCCTGTTTATTTATAAGCATACCGCTGATGGTTTTTCTGATACTGATGAACTGGTGCTTGTGTCCCGGATCCAATTTTATGGTGCTGCTGATTATATTTGTTGTTTATCTACTGACATTAGTGTGTTTTATCTTCGTAATCACCGCCTTTGTGACCAGCACCGTATTGACCATGAGCTCCATATGCGTTTTGCACTGCGTTAGTTTCATGCCATATTTAATGTTGGGTAGTCAGCCGCGACAGGCACAGGCAATATTCATCTGCTTGTTTATGAACAGCGCAATGCCTTTAATATTTGTGCAGATCCTTGGCTATGAAATTCGAGGCTTGGGTGTCCAATGGCACAATTTATTCACAACCAGTCATCCCGATGATATAATGAGCATTGGCTACATATTGCTGATTATGTTGGGCACCAACATATTGCGTATCATTTTGTGCTTGTATGTGGATCAGCTGAATCCGGGTGAATATGGTGTGGCCAAGAAATGGTATTTTCCATTTAAGCGCAAGTTTTGGTGTCCTTGGGAGCGACCGGGTAGAGCATTTGTGGATGAGGAGCGATTTATTAACCAAGTGAAACAACGAGACACCGATGCATTTGAGGAGATTTTTCACCATAGGCCGGTTATTATGGAGGCACAGCATTTATGCAAGTCCTACGGCGATATTGAGGCAGTGCGCGATTTTAGTTTAAAATTCTATGAGGATGAGATAACCGTGCTGCTCGGACACAATGGCGCCGGCAAAACGACAACATTTATGATGCTTGCGGGCATTACACTCCCGACCTCTGGCAGGGTTCTTGTTAATGGAAACAACATGGCCACGGCCACCCAAAAAGCTCGCCAGTCCTTAAGCTTTTGTCCGCAATATAATATACTATTCGATGAGCTGAGCGCATACTGGCACATTGTATTCTATAGCCGACTAAAGGGGTTCGAGCGTTCGGAAGCCGAAGCGGAGGCGGAAAGATATCTGGAAATAATGGATCTAATGGACAAATCGACAATTAAAGTAGCATACCTTAGTACTGGCATGAGACGCAAATTGTCGGTGTGCTGTGCCCTCTGCGCCAACACTAAGGTGAGTGTAAAACATGTCAGATAATCTGTCTTCGGCACGCCGAAGATTACATACCCTTTATAGAACTATGGAAAGAAAGAGAAAGAACAACAGCAAAAATGTTGTATAAAAGAAGTTAATATTCGATCGATTCTTCCTACAGACTTGTTAATACTGACTCGGATGCTTATACTTATGTGGAATATGTCAGAGATGTCTTCTTCTTCTTCAGATTTCATGACATTTCAAACTTCAATTACCTGATCCACAATCTGATTTTGCTTTTAGGTGGTACTTTGCGATGAGCCAACCGCCTGCCTGGATCCATCGGCGCGTCGCGAAGTTTGGAATCTGTTGCGTATGGAGAAAACTGGACGCTGCATAGTTATGAATACGCATTTTATGGAGGCCGCGGAAGTATTGGGTGATCGTATAGCGATCATGTGTGACGGCGAGTTGTACGGTTACGGCACTGCGGAATTTATTGTAAATAATCTTGGCCCAGGATATCGTCTAGTAAGATTCATAAATTCAATGCAACTATACCAATACACCTCATGTACATACATATAGGTCTGTGTGATTCTAGCGGATTGCGATGACCGCGAGGTCACAAAATTTCTTCGGTATCATATCAGTGCTGCGCAGCTGGAGAGCGTTACGGACACAGAACTAACCTACCGTCTGCCCGTTGAAAGTGTACATAAATTTACAAACCTCTTCAGGGCCATGGAGGGTAAGCTGGCAAAATTGAAAATTTCCAGTTTTGGAGTCAGTGCACCAACGCTGAGTGAGACATTCATGAAGATTGGCAATGCAAAAATTGGAACTGCGCGAACGATGGAGTCCATGAAACTGACAAACGGTAAGCGAAGTCTGTTAACGATGATTAGTTGTAAACAAAATGTTATATCTCTGGTACTGTTAATGTGGCACTGTTACGATTAATGTGCCGTCGTTACTGTTAATGTGCCTCTGCTACTGTCTATTATTACTATCTATCATCTATTACTTTTGATGTACTCCTGGAATAAATTATTAATCTAAATGTTGTTGTTTGTTATAGGAATTCAGAGTGCCAATATTTTGTTAATTACTATTAATAATATTTTAATGCAATATATCTAAGATAGGAATTTACTCGATTTACTAAATATATTCTTTCATACACTTAATCGCAATATAGCTTGGGTGTCACAGCCCAGCGAGAGCCAGGAGTTAAGAGCATCGAGGAGACGGTTAAACGACTGGCATGGTATGATGATAAAGAAGGTTCTATTCACATGGAATCATCCGTTCCTGTTTTCCTTTATTATATTGCTGCCGTTGTTTGGATTACTTATGCTCGCTCTGTTTGATATAATTTACAGTACAGATATCCCACATGTGGTTGATCCTTATAAATTATCGGTGTATCCGGACCCATTGGTCGTACACGAATGGCTAGTCACTGGCATCCAAGATGGGTCTGAAATATTTTATGATAAAAGCAAAATGATCGCAGATGAATATGAGAAAATAGCCATGGAAGCAGGTGCCACAGTGCATTCATTAACGCAAATTAGCGTTGGCAATTACTTATTGAACCATCTTAATTTGAACAAGGAAGGCTTCAAGGAAACCTATGTGGCAGCCACCACATATCGCGATGGCTCTGTTACGGCCTGGTTTAATCGACGCTTAGAGCACGGAGCGCCACTCTCACTTGGTCTAATCTATAATGCGATCGCACGTGTCCTGGGGAGAATGGACATATTTATTACCAATAAGCCACGTCCCGACTCGAAATCAAACGTCTATAAGCCCGACAGGGGGCTCAGTTCAAGGAGGCGTACTACTTTTATGTTAATGTATCTGAGTTTTGTCCTTTCAACGTTTATCCTGCTGCCCGTCTACGAGAAAGCGACACAGATGAAAGAGCAACAGTTCATTAACGGCATCGGCGTTTGGACTTATTGGCTGTCCCATCTGATCTGGGACTTTTTATTATTTATATTGATAATAATTTCCACATTATTGTCGTTTTATAGACTGCCCGGTCAAGTGCTGTACATGCTGGCGATCCTTCTCTTTTTCTTTGGCCTCTCCGCACTGACATTCACCTATCTGTTTACATATTTTTTCAATGAAGCCGGCAGCGGAATGTCCTATATGCTGATCATTAACTGCTGTATCGGTAATTAAAACAACAAGCTCTATCTCAAATATCTATAAGAAAATATGTTACTAATTTTATTTTTCAAATTAATTTGCATAGATACATAGAGTAGTAGTTGTAGACTACGAAACACGCAAAGTCTAGCTTACCCTAAAACGCTTCCCATTGCGCGAATTTATTCTTCGGTATTTACTGTCCGATTAAACAAAATTTTCGGGTCACTATTTGTGATATATTATCATAGACATTTCTGTTAATTCCGAAGGCTTAGCTCTAGTTAAGTTTTATTGTTTTGCATTTTTGGAAAGTTGTTGACCTGAGCAAGAACTTTTACATCAAGTTGGGTGTACATCTTGTTTTAGGATTTTATACATACAGATTGGTTAAGGTGGTTGATGAAATACACAAATATGAGCTAGATTAATTTTTGTTTAATTTATCTTAATTTTAGTTTTTTTGGCTGTCTTTACAAACTCGCACCAGCATAAGGAGAGCTTTGTATATTTACATTATGTCCTTATGGTCCTGCCTTTATATGTCATGTACTCTGCCACCCTAAAGGTATTTAGACGCGGCAGAGCGGAAAATTGCGAATTAATCGAAGTGGGATATGTTTGTAACATAAACCATAATTGTTGCGGTAAACTCATATCATTTCTAAGATACTCATTAGAAGTACTTATAATGCAATCTTGATATTTTCAGAAGATAAAAAGGTCGTGATTTACCCTTACATCATTGTATTGATAGCTACTGCAGTATTATTTTTTATGCTTCTCCTGCTGGCATCCAAAATTCGTCCTTTGAGATATGCGATCAAGTTTGGTTTGGATGCAATTCACTCGAGTTATTAACCATTTAACATATTTTACTCTATGTCGCAGGCGACGGCCCATGAGATGTACGACACCGGACGATGCTGATGATGTGAAACATGCGAGCAAGGAAATCGATGACATTCTTAAAGATAAAAATAAACTTAGGGCTCACAGTTTAGTGTGCAGTCGTGCCACAAAAAAATATCGTCGCCTTGTGGCAGTCAATTGCGTGTCCCTTAAGATCAGTCCGTCAGTTTGTGTTTTGCATCTATGCTGAGAAGAACTGTTCAGTTATATTGATTGATTTCCCGCAGATATGAATGCTTCGGTTTGCTGGGCCTGAACGGTGCAGGCAAGACGAGCACCATAGACATGATTGTGGGTAATCATATGATATCCCAGGGCGAAATCTACGTTAAGGAATTCAGTGTTAAGAGTCAGATGAAACAATGTTTCCAACATATCGGCTTCTGTCCGCAAAACAATACGATGTTCAGCTATATGACCGGTCGACAGATGTTGCGATTCACCTGCCTGACCAGTGGCATGAAGAAAAAGTTTATTAAATTGACCATCGGTCATCTGGCTGCGAGTTTTGTGCTGAGCAAGCATCTCGATCAAAAGACCAAGCACTACAGCGCCGGTACCAGAAGGAAGCTCAACATCGCCATGGCCGTGCTGGCCCGCACTCTCGTCTGCCTGGATGAACCGACCACGGGCGTGGATATTATCGCCAAGCAGGAAATCTGGCTGGTACTGAGTGATATGCGCGAATTGGGCAGATCTCTGTTTCTCACCTCACACAACATGCAGGAATGCGAGGCACTCTGCTCCTGCATTGCCATCCTGGTCAATGGTACCCTGCGCTGCTATGGTTCGGTGCAGCAACTGAAGAATCGCTTTAACAAGGGCGTCTCAATCAAAATCCAATTGGCCACCAACGACGAAATGACACAACCCAGGTAAGCCGCCTGTTCAATAATAATCAATAATAACATACACTACCAATCCAATTACCTGTTTAGTCTTATATCCGATTGGACAGACAGTGGCAGCGAACGGAGTCAGAGATCGTCGGCGAGTAAAGAACTTGGTAGGTTGCTTCTATGTTGCAGGCAGACCCATCTCTAGGCTATTTAAATAAACAAATAAACATCCGCATTATTTCAGAAATCGATGTCAGCCGATTACCAATGCCGACTAAAGCATCTGGTAAGTTTAAGATTTGCTTTTTAATTTACTTACAATATGATATGCAATTCATATAAAGAGGTTAGAAATAAGTGCGTCCTAGACTGGCACAAAGGTGCTCGATTTGAGTGATAGTTTTGAGCCGGACAGAAGGAAGCATAGCGGATGCCAAAAAGTATTTAAGTTCTTTCTTCTCAAGGAATCGATAAGAATGTATTTTAAAATTTGGTTTCTTAAGCATAGTTTGAAGATTATAAAAACTGAATGCACCAAATTTAGTATGTAGACTTTCGAATATTATACACAGTTCCAGAATATTTCACTTTGTGGGTAGAAGCAAATTTTTGGAAAGAGAATGAAGACGATTGGCTGCGACTGATTTACGCGAATCCATATAATTTTTAAACTTGCACTTGTCTCTGAGACGTGGCAGAGTTGAATAAAATACTTATTTGTCTCAAATGCTTCATTTAGAGTCGAATTCGAGAGGGCCATCTATGTCGGTCAGCATAAGTGAAGAGGATCCAAATACTAAAGGAACACAGGCTAAATTAAAGAAAAGGCGAAGAAGAGAAGCCAAAATAATAACGCCGCCAAAAGAAGCTAATTCGCCAACGGCCAGTCACGAATCGCCAAGAAGGACGACAATCATTCCACGAGTAACAATTACGTCGGCATCACCAAAACCGTCCATGATGTCTAGGCGAACAGAATCATGGAGATTGGGCTCACAGATCTATAGTTATAGCGATGCCGAAGAATATTATGGTTTAATCAAAAATGTGGAGGAAAAGTTTAAAGAGGACTTTCCCGACAGCTATGTATTGTAGGTATTTTTGCATGTGTTTATGGAATAAGAGAAAATTTTCATCCTTTGGCAACTATAGAGAAAAATACGTTTATCGTGGTATGGTGACTATTGTAATACCCGACAACGAACTGAAATATTCCAGGATATTTACGTATATGGAACAGCATCGTATCTTACTGCAAATAAAACACTATGCAATCAGCCAGACCTCGCTTGAGGATATTTTTATGGAGTTTGCGCATCAAGAGGAAGCAGAATAATACATATTATTTGTATGTCTGTATACACAGGACTGAACAGATCGATGGTGCAAGACAAAACTAAATTATCCAATGATCCGTATTGTGTAGTTGTACAGTTGAACAGAAAATAATATTGTTTAACTCGTTGCCCGCTTCACACGTACATGAGCGCAAGTTCTCAGAAGATTGCCAAACTTACATTCATGTACGTTTGATGGTGAATAATGATAAACAATCAGTGAAAAATAAAAAAAAAAAACAAAAACAAATAAACGCAGAAGATTTAGAGAGTTAAGAACACAAGTCACTTATTACCAAATGTTCTTGGTTGACTTGCTACATTGGACATGAGTTTCTATAGGCATTAATAGAGTAGAAGTGTAAAAAATAAAGACTTGGACTTTGGCCTCTGATTTCGTGTTCTTGTGGTTTCTTCTTTCACTTAATAAATATGTATGTCAATAGAGTTTTTCGGTACTTTGAACTTGTGGTACGAAAAAACTTTCCACACACATATTCACACTACCTCTGCATGTTTGTATGTAAATCGAGGCAAGCTCAATTAGAAGTCAATTTATAGATATTTTGTTGTTGTTTATAGACAAACCAATTCATTTGTTAACCTTTGCGCCTTGCAATTTCGAACAATTTGTGCTTGGAGACGGAACTTTGCACCCGATATGACGTTAGAACTCGTCAGATATACAAAGCGAATCAAATAAAGGGGATTCGTGTGTCCATTCATTTTTTTTTTTTTTTTTCAGACAAATCATAGAGAAAAACCTCGCGCAACCTTGCTGATTGCGTAAAATTAGCTTATCAGCATTTAGTATAGGTATATATATATATATATATATGTATTTTGTACATAGTGATACTTGATTTTGTATTAGTTTAAAACACTTGACCGGTTTCCAATAGTTAAATTTACTTGCAAAATGCAACAATTATTTAATGGTCAGCAAACGTTACTTTACATTTAAGTACAATACAATAAAAATACAGTATTTCTCTTGATTACTTAAATTAAATATTGTTCATTGATTTGCTACGTTTCAGCATGCACATAGACGGGACAATTGTATATATGTTCATATGAATATAGGTTTGTGTATCAATATTTTGCCAGCAATGCGCAATTTGGCAAACTTTGCTATAATATTATTCTAAATGTGTAACGTTGTATACTACAATTTGAATTTGATGAAAACAACACATTGCTCTAATATGACTTATGTAAAACTAAAGCAGACTAACTAAATTGTTGATTATCCCTCACATTAGAGACTCTTGGCTGTCAGTCTCTAATGCAATACCATACAGTTATTGTCTAATCCATGAGTCTATTATAATTTATGGCATTTGTAAAGCGATTAGCTTCACTGAATATCAGCTAGGTATGCCGACGAGGTATATAGACATATATTTAACACATCCTAGTTATCAATTATTATATAGTTTTAAGCACTTGCAAAATGGAAGACGTTGTTCGGGCGCCTTTAGCAGTTGTTATAGTTATATGCAGGTATACAAATAGGTCACATTGTTATATGCACGTTTTAGGTACGACAACTGCTAAAACAGCTGCATGTTTTAAAGTTTTTTTTGGTAAGTAAAGCCCACAGTTAATGATATTCTACACTATGTCATTTAACAATATAAATAAATAAGAGTTCACCTATTATATAGCTACAGCTGCCTGCGTTAATTTCGTAAGCGATTCATCTTGGTCCGCCTGCATCTGTTTCTCTAACTGTTGGCGTCTCCAGCGTCGGGAGAGCACCGGCGCGAATAAATCATAATCCAGCTGCCTGTGATACTTATCTAAATATATCTGAGAGTTGTTCGCAAAGTTGAAGTGCGCCAGTGTCAGGCTGGCACCATAGCCGACGCCTAGCGTAATCAAGAAGCCGAGCACACAGTACCACAGGTATGATAAACGATATAGCCAAAAGTAATCCGCTTGCTGCACCAGCGCCTGCGCTACATGAGTAACATTCGCCGACTCACAACCGGTGGTATTGAGGGGTAGCGGTGTTGTCGCCGGCTTTGGACCGCCAAAGCCAATCCAGAAGGAAAAGATCAAGCCAAGCGTAAAGCCCAACAAGACCCCGCGCTGATTGGAGCGCATAGTGCAAACCCCAAGCGTAAAGATGCCCAACAACGGGCCACCTACAACGCCAAAGATAGTCAAAGATGCCTGCAGCACGCCGCCCAGTGAGCCAGCGACGAAAGCCAACAGTATACAGAATAATCCATAAATGCAGGCAACAATTTTGGTGGGTAGCGTTGACTTGGAGTCTAGTAACGTGCGCTTGAAAATCGCCTTGTACAATGGCTTGAGGTAGTCCTCCAGGGTAACAGCCGAGAGCGATGTGACTGCCGAGGATATGGTCGATAGACTAGCAGAGAAAAGGCCCGAAACAAACAAACCACACAGTCCCGGATACTGGCCTGCAGCAAAAGCAATATGTTATAAATGTTTCATGGTTAAACAAATAAGATTTCCTCACCCATGGTATCCACAGCAAAAAGTGGCATTAGCTGATCTGGTGCTTTTATTCGTCCACTGAGCTTGGGATCGCAATCACGATAATAATAAAATATGGCCAAGCCGCTGAAGATGGTGCTAAAGCTAAGCATGCCCAGGATGGGCAGATTCCACCAAAGTGCTGATTGTGCGCTCCTTAAATTGTGCACGCTTAGCAGACGCTGCACCTGCGTCTGATTAACGCCATACAGCGATAGATATGTGACCATTCCGCCAATTAACAATGACCACCAGGTGTGACGCACTGTAGGATCTGCCGAAAATTCAAAAAACTGCACACGTCCACGCTCCTTCGCAACATCCCAAATGGCACCTAGGCCACCAGCCTTGCTGGCTGAAACTCCAATGACAGCAAAAATGGCGGCAAACATGAGAAACGACTGAAAGACATCCGTGATGAGCACGGCCTTGAGGCCACCCAGTGTTGAGTAAAAGGTGCAGACGAGACCTAGGACAAGTATAGCGGTAACTCTCGGTATGCCGGCGACAGCCTCCAGCGCCAAGGCGGGCGCATAGAGCGCAATGC